GTGTGTGTGTGTGTGTGTGTGCTGATTTTTTGTTTGCTTGCCTTTTTTTACTTACAGGAATGATTCAACATGCAAAATGTTAAGACAATATTATGAAAGTTCAATCACTTTGTTTTCATCCCTAAACATATAGACAAACACTTCGATCATTCCTGGTAAGTGCTTTCACAAGTGCTATTGTCTAGCACATTCTAATAATACATTCAATTCAATCAGCTAGTGTCACGCTCAGCACACAAGGTATTTTATAATGACTCGTCTAGTCCTGAAGGCATATCACTTTGACACCAAACTCCCCACCCTACCCTAGGACGGGAAAAATCATTTGTATAAATAATCTATATATGATATTTTAAAGCTATCAAGTCTTCAGTTTATAGTATTATCAACTGGTTCTATAACATAGTATTTCAAGTTAAATCAAGCAATACCCAAGGTTTGGGGATGCTCAACACTGCGTACCCTGATCCCCACGCGACTCAAGTACTACCCCTCTCCTCCCCCCTTAATTTTCGTCACCAAAGCAATATCTTATCTACTTTAGCAGCCCATGGGCTTGGACCTTCACGAAGGTTAAATAAAGAGGGCCAAATTTTCATCAAAAGCTGAGCTCGAAATCACCCAACTAGGCGCAGTGAGTATGAATCTGTCAGTTCCGTGTTTTTCTTGAATGTTGTTTAAATGATCTACAATTAATAAAAAAACAGTTGCTCGGGTTTATTCACCGGATGGAGTATACAGTGCTAGTCCAGTTTCGTTTGATTTGCAGTCAAAACTTGTCAAGCGTCTCTTCCAAGTACTAAACTTATAATTCACCAGAGTTTTGCTACATTTTTCTTATGAACGGTGAGACTGAAAACGAGTCTAAAAGTGGGCATTCGTCCTGTTCTGAATTTTTTTTTTTACCAATTGATAGTCCTAATGGGAATTTATAATGGCTCAGTATGTATTTTTATGCATGCGGTCAAACAAACAACATACAGACTCAGTTRCTAAATGTGCGGTCTCTCATGCCTTCATGTTTTCTCCCATTCTGGAGTCGCTATTTCAGTCTTGGCAATATTGAAGGTTGATTATTGAAATACTATAAAACTCACACCTCAATTTCTAATCTCGAAATGAGCCAGCCAACTTAGTGCGTTCAACATTTTGGAACGCAGTTTGACCTGCTTTGACTTCAGCTTCTCGTGTTGTCGCTCACCTTGTCAATCCTGTTCTGCATACACAGTTCGCCTTTATTAAAGTCTACTGCTGCTAAATGGTATCARAAACCATTTTTATTTGCCATAAAAGTAGAACTAAATCAGAGTAACGGAATGTTATATTCTAGCGTTTGAAATCAGTACTTATATCTTTATTCTTTTATGTCTTTTCAATGATGGTATAGATTCGCTGGATCGGGCTAAGTTGCTTATACACTTAGTTATGATTAATTCATTCCTCTATTTATTAAAGAAATTAAGATTACTTCATGATTAATTAATATATATCAATTAACGATTAATTAATGGGTCGCAGTAAGGTAAATTCGGAACGCCTTCCTTTTGTGAATAATACATTCCCTCAAGGACAGCTCACATATTTAAAATATTCAACACTTTATTAATCTTTTATTAACCGATTAATGATTATCTGATGTGCTCACACACTGAAAAAGATATCATGTTTGACGTGCATTCACTCAGTGGGGAGTCAAGAGAATTGTATTTAGTATTTATGAATTATTTTTTAAACAAATGATGAATGCTTGATTAATTGCGAGATGGTTCAGATAAGTGTCGCACAATAACATTACCACAGGTTACCAAGCGGAAGAGAACTTCAAGCACGTTTTGTGACCTAAGCTACATATCAGCTTTCGAAACTCAAAACCTCGGAAAAACAAGTCTGAGCTTTTAGCT